CAAGTAACAGTAATAGACTGAACAGGCTGCCTTTGCAGGTTGTGGAATATCCATCACTGGAAGGTTTTAAAAACAGGTTAGGCAAACATCTGTCAGAAGTGATTAAGATATAATAGATGAGAACGAATGAGATCTTTTGCTCCTCTTCTGCCAAGGTCTTTTTGTTACACCTGGTGTTAGAAACCAAATAATATTTCCCTTTTTTATATCCATGTGTTTTATTTAACCTTAAAAAAACATTTAATAAAAGTTACCATTCTGTGATATTTCCACATATTTAAGTGTGTTTATTTGGGACAACAAAATACACGTAAAAGATTTGCTAACTCTGAAAGCAGGAGAAAGAAACCACCTGTGAAGTAAAATAATGTATTAAATTTACACTCACTCTGAATAAATTGACCTCTAACATCATAATGCAGACAGCACTCTATTTTCTCATTCTCCAAGAAAAAAAATTGTGAAAACTTTAGCTGATGACTTACTGATCTGCAGTCACTAAGATTTTCGTTAAAAGAATTTTTTTTAATAGAAAGCACTTTTTCCCAAGCACCAAAAAAAAAAAATATATATATTAAAAATAATTTAAAATAATAAAGCAGAAGGTTGTTTTGAGAAATATTCAAACCTTTTTTAAATTATAATAAATTATGAGTAAGGACGGCTTCCATCACAACGGGGGGGGGGGAAAGCCAGAGACCTTTTTTCCACCCCCTTACTGTTTAATACTAAGGTAACCATGGAAATAAAAAATAAACATTGATTTCCCCCTCATACCCAGTACGACGGGAAATCTATCAGGGGAAATGTTTCTTGGTAAAGGTAAGAACCATACAGGTAACTGTTAAGAAGAGTAAACAGATTTCTGGGGGTCTTGCTCAACTGACATCATGTAACTCATACAAGAAATAAGAGGTGCTGTTTGCTTTGCCCACATCTGATGTTCCTAGTAGCTGCTTTCTATGCTGACTCCTCAGTTTTATCTATGTTGCCTAGCACTTGACCTTCTTTAGGTTTTAGGAAACTCTCCCTTAGAAGAGACAAATATGAACGAATACATTCACACGACAGCAGTGACACACAGCAATCAAACCATAATTAGAAAAGTTAAAAAATACTATGGTTGGTAACAGATTTGTCTTCCTGCACATTTGATCAATCCTTCTAATGACAACTGCTTATGTTATTTTTATTATATAGGTATTTCCTAAGTACATTCACAGGGACTTGTAAAGTAGGTGGGGTTTGTAGGCACTCAAGAACTCAATTTTTCTTTTCATTCTTGGTCTGGGCAGGTCCTGGATAACACTTATGTCCTATTTTGGATCTCGATATGTGGTTTTTCTTGCCAATTCAGGATCCACCCCTCAGTCTGATATCAAGCTCTCTCTGCTGCTTCTTAAGGCTTTTTAAGAAATGAACAGAGTAACATGACATCCATAAGATTATTTATTCTACTTCAAGGAGGAAGGCGCAGGGAAGCTGAGAAAGTGATAGTTTTTTAATTTGATTCTATTGACAATTAGTGAATTTATATAAAGCAGCAATTTTAGAAGTGGTTTATTAATTCAGAAAGAAAACACAAATTACTACAGCTGATTATTACCTTATGTTATCTCTTACTATCTCATAATTCAAACTAGCATGGTTCTACAGTATAAAACATGCTGTGTAATAAAAGTATAGCAGTATTTTGAGGCATTCATACAATATTTCCAGAAGCTGCTTTTAAAGTTTTGTGCCAACTGAAATGAGTGTACTGTATCTCAATATATTATGGACTAATATAAAATGAAAGTTTTTAACTTTCTACTTTAGTCCTAATTTAAGAAACACATACACACATGCACACCAACCCCCAGTTACAAACAACCATGTCTCTGTGGAGTTCAAGGAACAAAAATAAAAGATTAACAAATAAAAGATTAAGATTCGGAAATACCAATCAAATTGTTGTGATGACATGTCACTTAAGTAAAGAATTCAGTGTGTAAAGCATATAGCATGAAATTTCAGTGATAAACACTACAGTTAAGCATATATATTTCAACATTCCCTAAATTGGGACCCTGTCCTTCAAGAATGTAATTTTACCAAGGATATTAAGCACACAACTTTAGAAAGACCTAAGAAGAAGAAAAGGGAGGAATGCCACCAATACACCTTGCGTGACAGAGCATTACTCACACAATGTTTTATAGTTCTCTTTTCAGGAAAACAATATCGTGAAACTTCCAGGTCAATAGAAAGTCAAAGACTCAAGTAGACTAGAATCTTATAAATTTTTAGTTGTCAAAATTAATTTTAAGAAAATGGTATTATTTGATTTAAAATACTCTGCAAAGCATAATAAGTCCTAGGGGGCTGTTTGGTACACAATTAACTTCATTCCTAGTCTTCTTGGATAACATACCTAACTGAAAAAAAAATAATGTATTAAACAGACTTCAGTCAAATATTTTAGAAGAAAAGCCATTACAGACAATATCACCTAAATCAAAAGAATGAAGAAATATCCATGGACTGTTTAGCCCTCCTTCAAGAAAGAGGCCCTAGGTTAACTTACCACTGTTACATTCATGCTTACTGAGAGTTATAATGATGTCAAAGCAGCATAACCACACCTTGCTGCATTAAGTTTATTTTTCAAACTGTATTCCCACTCAAATATGCTTCATTCAGAGGCATCAAGTCCTCAAGGCCCTAGGCAACTCAAGAGCCCAATTATTTCCAATCTGATGGACTCTTTTAAGCAAATACCCTTTTCCATTTGATACCATTTTCTTCACAGAGTCCACTGCTTTCAGTCTGGGGAATAAGAATTATTTCCTTCTCTATTTACATTTAAAGGTGTAAAAGAAATGAATACAGCTATAGCAATATAGAGAAAATATGCCCAAGCTTCATACTAACAACTGGAAAAAGACATTCCTGAGCAGAAGCTTGCTGAAGATGGTTTTAACAATCATTTTGACTTAAATCACTCTGCTCTCAACATCTTGCACATTCAGGATCCGGTAGAACTAAAACATGAAAGCAACTCACAGATATATTGCTTAAAATACTTTTAAGTCAAAATTGCTGTAAGAAGAATATATCGTTAACTTGTAACAGAGTGGAGAAAATATATTATGACACTGATAAGCAATGACCCTTGAGGCTAGCTAAGAAAACAAAACACAAAATAAACAGCAACAACAACAAAAAACAACAAACAAACCCAAACCCCAACAAACAAACAAAAACTCCATCACTTTACTAACCCATTTCTAAGGCCTTAAAATTTTTAAAAATATCCAGTATTAAAAATTCAGGTGTGGGACTTTGGTTTTGCTTGATTTTATAGATTTTGGACTTATCTTCCAACAGGTTTGCCAAACAGTGTAATAAAATTTAAACGTAACTGGAGAATAATACAGCAAGTGAATCATAAGAACATACAAAGCCAGGATGCTGTATTGAATCCCTGCTGCCTCACCTCGCTACAGAGTTCATGGAAGTATCCTGAATCACAAAACTATTTGTGAAAAGCAATTATATCATTAAAAAAAATAAATTTCTGAGTTAAAGAAGCAACCAGAGCAAGAAATGCAAATACTACTTAGTTTGCAGCAGTATTTTGTTCATTTTGACAGCTGCTAAACCCAGTTCAGAGAACCTTACAGGTCAGCCTAAGGTTATACAGCACTTCAGCAGTGTTGCCATGTGCTGGTTGGCTGTGCACTGGTAATGTGACCTAACAAGCAATAACGCATAAGCTCACCCCTGCTATCCACTGCATCCGTTCCCAAATACAGTATGTGCTGTATGTTAAAACTTTACAGCATCTCTACTGAGGATGGACCAAATACTGAACTTTTCGCTCACTGAAGTTTATTGAAAGGCATAACGAATGTTCCACAATCCAAATTAAGGCAGCATTTACTTTCCCACTAGTAACAGCCGTTCCTGTGCAAAGCTCAGTAGATTCTCCGTGCCTGCACTTCCCAGGCTATTACAGCGTTTCCTCCAACAGCCCACCATCACGCCTCTTCCAAGCCCTCATTCCAGGGGAAGGGCTGCATGCAGGAACACAACTGATTTTGGATGGACTCCTTCGGGTGCAGGCGCGTCCTCCGCTCAAAGCGCGGCGTCTGCGTTTGCAAAGCCGCCCTACAGTCACAGAGCGCGTCGAGCCCTGCGAGCAAATCCCACGCGCGAACTGAACCACGAGTTTAGCGCCGCTTTCCGCAGCTCGCGGCTCCCATCCCGCCCCTCCGCAAAGAATCCCTGCTACAGCCCACCTGCGTTAGCTCTGGCGGCTCGGAGACGATTAGTAGCAGCAAATTAGCGGGACCCTGCCAGGCTCCCCCCCTGCCCGCTCCAGGGAGCTCGGCCCGGCCCCCGAGGGAGCCCCAGGGTGTGAGGTCGCCACGGCCCAGTGGCCCGGCGGCTGGCGAGGGACTGCCGGGGTGAGGCACCCGCGGGGGGGCTGGGAGCGGGCGAGGCGAAGGGGCAGAGCCCGGGGCAAGGGCAGAGTCCGGGGCAGACCAGGGGCAGAGCCTGGGGCAGAGCCTGGGGCAGAGCCTGGGGCAGAGCCTGGGGCAGAGCCTGGGGCAGAGACAAGGGCAGGGGCAGACCAGGGGTAGAGGCAGAGCCGCCGCGGCCCCCGCGGGACACTCACATGAACCAGGAGCCGCCACTGCCGCCCGAGCGGAGAAGAAGGACCCGCTGCCCGGGGCTGCTCCAGCGAGCGCCTGAGGTTTATAAGCGGGCGCCCGCGAAAGGCTTCGCTGCGCTCAGCAAGCACCGGGCTAAAGAGCACCCAACGCCTTGTTCCCAGAGCACTGGCGGAGCACGCGCGTACATGGCGGGGAAGGGGGTCGGAAAGGGTGTTAAAATCATTCTTTGTAGTTGTTTGGGGTTTTTTAAAAAAAAAAAAAAAAAATAAACGAACGAAATAGAGCTCAGGCATCGTGGAGGCCGCCCCTGCGGTCCTACAGCGGGCGGCTGGCGCAGCGGAGTGACGCCGGGGCGGGGAGGCGGCCCTGGTGCAGGTACCGCCGGCAGCTTTCCCCATCCCGGTCCCCATCCAACACCCCTTCCCCTGAGGACCCCTGGCTGGCGAGCTCATAGCGGCACAGGGCTGATCGGGGCCTCTAGCATTTCTATAGCAGTCGTTTAGCGAGCCGGGTGAAGCTGATTTCTCTCCTGCAAGGCTCAGTCCCTGAACAGCCGCTTCTGTCGGAGACATCAAATGGTGACAAACCCCGTCTTTGTATCTTTGTAGGGACACTGGTGTAGCAGAGCGGGCAGGCAGCCTGTAGGCAAAAGGCACTGATAAACAGGTAAAAGGAATAACGGGTAAAAGAAGTAACAGGTTTATAAAGGAGAGAAATGGGGATGAAAGTCTATTCTGATCTATCAAAATAAATACCAAAAACTGTCATTTTTTTTTCTTCGTGCCGTCCAAGTGTTGTTATTTTCTCCCACTGGCTGGATGTTCAGCTGCAGGTGTGAAACTCGAGGTGTCCGTGTAAATTTCAGCCGTTCTTATGCCTGGTTTTCAGGGCAGCAACCTTTTCATCTGTGTAGTGACCTTATAAATGCTCCAAACAGCACCAATAACTCCTGTGCAAATATAATGCAGGTATAGAATATAGGATATTTGACAGAATTCCAAATATTACTGAGATACAAGCCATCAGCAAAGGTTAAGAAATGCTCTATTTCACTTGAGTAAAGTGATGCTTTAAAATACCCCCACAGAGGAATTACTGTTTAGCATTTTCATGAAATAACTCTTTAAATATGTGTTAGTTACCTATGCCAAAAGCACCATGATACCTGTCTGGGTTCCCCCCCTTCCCCCCAAAATTCAGTGTTCATTGAAGGCAAAATAATGGCACCAGAGCCTTGTCAAAATCTGGTTTCCATATTCTGTTTATCTTGAATAACAGTATTATAATTAAAATTTTGGTATACTTTTATATTCATCTATTGCTGAACTGGTGTAGCTGAAATCCAAAGCAAAGTGTTTCTTTTCTTCACTGAATTTACTAGTTTGGACAGAATAATGACAATGTTGATTATTTTCTCTTAACTGTGCCTTACTGTCTGTAATTATCTGCCCATGACTTCATAGTTATTCTTTATTTGTAGTCAGAATGCTTCTTACTTCAGTGAATGTTAGAGAAATTAGAAAATCTTGTAAAAGAAGATATTTTAATGTTATGCCACGGGGGAAAATATTTGATTAAACACAATTCTGCTTACATTTAGATTTTTTTAGCAATCTTATGGCATTTGTGGTAGATGTTCAGTTTATACCGCAAATTAAAAAAAAAAAAAAAGTGAGGTGAACTAAATTTAATCCACAGTTTCCCCCATCCCCTGCAAAAAATTAAGTTGATAACTTAATAGGTTTTATTATTTGTTATTGTGAAATGAATGTGTCTCATCTCATTATTGTGATTATCCTAGCAGACTCTTACTTTTTATTCTGTGGTCCCTTCCACAGGAATCTGAATTCAGCTTTTCTTCAATACTCATTATGCATTTTAATAAACTTTGTGTATAGCTGATTGACAATGGTGGACAGTGGGAGATAAATCACAGTTTGGGGGGAAGTTTTGGGAAGTAGCAGCACTAGGTAAAATTGCATCTTCTATTTCAGTTACTTTATCAAATTAATAATTACTATGATTGCAGCAGGAATATTGTAAGACTTAAGAACAAAGAAATTCTGTGAAAGAATTTCTTCTTATGAAACGGCCTACTTTGTTTAAAATACTGTGATTTAATGAAAAGCAGTGTAAGTACAGGATGGTCAGGCTACCTGCTCTCCTGGAATTGTTCTCAATTAAAAGTAATTCAGTAGCAGTTCTGATTATGATTATGTTTTAATGCGGAAAAGCTGCCTTCATTAGGTGGGGAATGTTTGCACCTGGATACTGAAGAGGTGTTTAAATAACTAGCCATTTCAAATTGCTAACAGGTACATGGCTACTTGTCATTTTTTCTGCACATGGACAGTTGGGGAGAGCCACAGCTGTGTTTCACTGAATGGTTTTATTCAGATTGGTCTGTTTGTATGGGCAATATTTGCTTCTGAGAGATTTATACATTTTCTTAAGGGCAATGTTCTAAGTGTCCATTGACTCAAATCACCTTAGCACTGCTACAGTGAAGAAGCTTTAAATGATGGATAGAAAAGACTAAATTCTGAAGAAAAAAATATTTGTTCTCTGAGAGCAGTAGGTATTCAGAGGAGCAAATAAGTTGCTCAGGAGATGGGGAGCTCCATCCTGTATTTTATTTCTGAATCTTAGTCATGGACAAGCTATCTAGTGCAAGATTTTCAAAATGGTGCTTAATCTGAATATTAAATAGGAATTTCTAAAGGTCTTTTCTTTCGTGGCTGATTTTGCTGAGAATTTTGGTTAGTGTGTTTGTGTACTGTAAAGGTTTCTAAGGGAGATTTGGACAGAGGCAAGGGAGCTCAGGAAGGTCATTCAGAGGTGGGATGCAACAAATCCACTTCTGGACTTCTAATCTTTATGCCAGACGTATTTCACAGATGTGATAGACTGTCTCTCATATATGGAATAAATGGTGCTTTGGAAACAGTGACTCCATAGTTTTAGATGACACTAATAAGACAAGTCTTCATTTCCTCTTCCATCTTTGCTGTTCTGGATTGTCAGAATTGAATTTCCAGAATTCAATCCCAAAACTGAATTTGCCTTAACTGTTTGCAGTGTCAATTTAAAATAATAAACCCTTCTTTTTCTCTTCCTGTTTTTATTTCAAAGTAATAGGGAGGTTCTGCAGGATATAATTCATTCCTTCAAGTCATAAAATTAATGCAATATGTGTCTCTTCTACATAGTACAAGTGAGTTTGAGGTGTAGAACTGCATTTGTTGACCCTAAGGACGATGTGTAGCACACTCATGGATTTATAGTTCTGCCAGACTTCGATGTGGAGTTAAAGAAAAACAGACAAAAAAACACAAAACAAACAAAACCCCATTTAAAATGCTTTCATGGTTTCCCATAGAATTAATTCTATAATAAGAGAACCTGTTTTAATGCATACCTTTTAAAATTCCTTATTGATTCCTTTAGGTGGGTGTCAGGAAGGATTGCTTATATCATGTCATCCTTTCTCCTATCTGCTTTCCAACCAAAGGAAGCAAGGTATAAGTTGAACACATTGCAGGTGGTGTAAATCATCCTTGTAAGCTAAGTGATCTAGAGTGCAAGGAAAGTTTAATCTCTTAAAATGGTTTATTGAATTAATGAAATTTAACAATTGTTTTAGTGAAAATTCCTTTCTAAATGTCAGCTAAATGCAGGTACAATGTATTAGGGAATTATTCTCTAACATTGTTTTTCTACAGTAAAAATGAAAACATCTTCTCTCAGTAAATATATTGTATTCTACATATGTACATTTTTAGAGACATAATGCACCTTGCTGCTTAGATGTAATTTTACTCTCCTTCCCCTCAACTCTGATCCTAATAACTTGGTTTTCTTTTCTTTTAGAGCAAATATTAAGAGGACCATTGTGCCAAACAAGATTATAATTCAATCTCTAAGTCAAACTATATTTTCTAGATGTTTAATATATATTTTCTTTCTGAAGCTGAGTAGTTCATTTGGCAGACATGATGTTTTTACAGGAATGTGGGTCTTGTTATAAGTGCACAGCTAAAGGTTTCCAGTTGGAAATTGCTGCATGCCAATAAATCTTTTTGCTGGCACCCTGTCCAACTGATGTCTTTCCAATGGAAAATTCTAACTGTAATTTCCATTGTTCGCGTCCCAAAATAAATAATTTACCCCCCCAAAAAAATGAAATATTCATGAGATATGAAAGTGTTCTGTATTTACAAATAAGACTTTTAATACAAATACTATTATAAAAACTACAATGCTCAATGCTGTTCCAGATTTATTTTCTTCCTTTTTCAAGTTTGATCCCTTAATTCTATGCATTCACATTTAATATGATGATGTTTATTAGAATGTAAAAGTACATATCTCACGTCCCTATTTCTTCAGAGGAGAAAAAAAATCACAAATGCATGCAGTCGTTTAAATGTGCTTTGTATCTTAGATTGGACTGTATTAGTTCAAATACAACTACATTCCATAATTTCCATTTGTCTAGACTTAGTAAATATGTTTGGTATATAAGGATCTTTGTGCTGCCTATATGGAGTCACTCTCAGTTGGGATTCATGAAATAAATTTAGTAGTTTTTAACTGGGAATGTTATGCTTGAGACAAGATTGTTCCCATAGAGAAAGAATAATTTTGAGACACTGAATTGTTAAGTGTTCTGTTTCTCCTGTGTGACTTCCTCAGGAGAGAATCCCTTTTCCTGAAAGCAGCAGGTTAATTTTGGTTTAAAGAAGAACAAAAAAGTAGTGAATAGCTTCATTAGTGCTCTGCATAATCTTTTTCTTGCGTTTTGTTTTGCAAAGCACCTAAAATGTTAAAAAATTATCACATCTGATTTGAAAGAATTATGTTGCATTTAAGCTTGTTGTATTATTTCTTTTATGGGATTCAGATCCTGAGTGTTCTTCTTCCTCATTTCCTGGAGAACTTGCATATTTACCTCTGCTCTTCAGAGCTTATAATTACTGTTCTGTGGCTCACAAGAGAGTTGCTTTCCATGTCAGTGGACTGGTTTTGTTGATGGTATACACAGATGCCTCCAGACTCTGTGCTGTGATGTTGAAGTGAGCTGGATGGTGCTCTCCTGCACAGGTTTGTTAATGAAGTGGATGGTTTTTTATTCTATGGCCTCTTGTACGACAATATGTGAAAGTACCATCTGCTTCACCATCACAGCTTCCACACCAGGGCTCACTTAAGAAAGTATAAGCTTGGCGTTTTTATCTCTGTTTGTATAAGTATCCTTGTACACAAGTACAAATGTGCTGTGGGAGTTAATGTGTTTGGATAATAGTCCCTAATGATAGGTTGTACTGTCTCGAGTCACCTGCTGGGCAATCCAGAAATGAGCTGAGCAGAGGCTTGATGTGGTTTTTGGAACTTGTTGCCTCAGATTAAATTTGTAGTTTGCTAGTAAGAAGAGTTCAGGCAGTTTTACCTGAGGCCTCTCTGACTGTGGAAGTGTCTGTTAGTTGTGCATGGTTTAGATTTTCATGTTCTTGAATAGTGTAATGGTTGGTTGTGGAAAAATGTAGAGAAAATGTTCAGCTCACGCTGAGTAGAAATGCCTAGTTCAGAGGAGAGAGCTTGTTCCTGCTGGAGAGAAAAGTGGTCATGAAATTAAGTGCTCCTGGACCTAATTTCAGGATAATTTATTTTGCTTGACTGTCTCACAGAAATATTTAACATAGATTACTTTCTTAATTTGTTATTGACCCAGTGTGTGAGCTAGCAGCTTTACCCATGGATAGGGAAAGGAATGGTGGTAGGAAAGAGGACTGTTACATCATAGCTTTAAATATTAGGATTGCTGTAGTATATAGATGCTGGATCATCACTAAAGCTGTGGTAATCTGGACTTGTGGCCTGCTGATACAAGGTGGTATTCTAGAAGAGTGTTGTCTGTTTAGTGCCTTTACTGTTTTTTGAATAAATAACCTACTATATTGAAGTAGTTATCTGAAGATTGCTTGTATTAAAGCATGTATCTGCTCCTAAAAATAGTTTTATTTGATTCTTAAATCTGTGTTTAACACTATGGTTATATTTTCATCTTTAAATGTGGTGTTTATGATGCAGCAGCACTGTATTATTATTGTTATTGTGTTTATTATGCAAATATGTCCCTTTCTCCCATAACAGAGGGAAAAAAAATTAATTGCATTAATTAATAAACAACTAGGGACCTGTATACTTTGCAGATAAATTTTTACTTTGTATTCTCTGTTTAGGGAACACAAATTGCTCTGAAGAGTTTAAGATTGTGTGAAAAAGATGTTTCCTTTAAAAGACTCTGTGATGGGTGCCTCCACCTTCTTTGCCTCAGCTCTACCACATGATGTTTGTGGAAGTAATGGTCTTCCTCTAACACCTAACTCCATAAAAATTTTGGGGAGATTTCAAATCCTTAAAACAATCACTCATCCCAGGCTTTGCCAGTACGTTGACATTACCAGAGGTAAACATGGTGAGTATCTGTTTAATAAGCAAATTTTATGTATGGTTACAGAGTTATATTTTTGTGACAATATATTGTAAGGTGACTGAGGAGCATACTGTCTTCATAGCACCACAGAGTGGCTGGGTTTCAGTCTTAAAATTACTGTATACCTTTGCTGTGACTGGCAGCATTGGTGCTTCTGTTTCATCTCTGTAGAGTCAAGGTAGAGGATTGTTGTTTGTCCTGTTCTGTTGTGTGTTACACTAACTGATGAAAGCTAAGTACTTTCTTCCTTTTATACCTCTCTAAAATTCTTATACTCAGTTGCTGTTCCATGTCTTTGTGTGGGACATGGAAATATGTGTATTTTTGATGCTGCACTCCTACACCCATGCTGTAATCTTACGACCATTTTCATGGAATGGTTGGGTTTTTTGTATTTGATTTTCATCTATTCATGTTGTCTCGGTCATCTTGTGTTTTGGCTGCAAGCTTCCAGTATTCTTTTTTTTTCTATCTCTTTAAGATTTCTCCCACTAATGGTTATTTTATTTTAGTACAGCTATTTTTTGTCAGTAACTGTTATCACACTTATTGTTAGCTCAAATAAAGCTTCAGTTTTTTTCTGCTCTAGATGATCTTATTCTGTTGCAAGCTCAGCAGGACTACAGCACTTAATTTCCACAAAAAGGCGGCAACACCTGTGAAAATTTAAGTGATTGCCACCTTTAACTTTTAAATCAGCAATGTTCCCATATAAAAGCACATTGTCTGTATTTGATTAGCTACAGGGTCTCATAAAGTAGAACAAGTAATTTTTGTCCCCTTTAGAATGCAGTATGATAGAATGTTTAAGATTTTTAGAAGATTAGGATATTGCCAGCTCCAAACACTGAAGTATTCTGTGGGGTAGGGAGTTCTTTATGCATTTTTCTTTGCTCTCAAACATGTGAATTTTTCATTTATGCAGTCAGGAGATCTATAAAGTTTAATCACTTTGCTTTTGCTAGTACCTCTTGAAAGAGAAACTGGGATTTTCTTACAGTACTGTTTAGGATGAAAGGTTAGGAAGCATTAACTAACATAACATTTAATAAATCAAAAATAACTAGAAAACCGTGACCTTTTTGACAACAAAGAGTAAAATTAAGATTTTGTGTGTATAAATATGAAGGAAAAAATACTCTCTGATAATTGAAGTAATTTGATGGATAGCAAATAAAATGTCTAATCATGAAATCAGGAGACTGTTCCTAATGGTTAGAATAGCAGCTAATAGATTTCAAATAATATGGCAAATTTGGTGGCAAATGTTCTCATTCTTATACTAACAGAACTTTCAATTTGACAGTTCTCTGCATAATGATTTAATGTTTGTGGGGATTTTTTTTTGCAAATATCAATTTCTATTCTTACAGAGGAACATGAGAGCAGACTAGGAAAACAGTGCAAAAAAAAATAAATTACATGTATGCATCCCCCCCAAAGACCCTCAAAGGGGAAATATAAAAAAAAAAAAAAAACACATTCAAATGTTGGGTTTTTTTTTTTTGTAAAATTGAACGACTTTTAAATCTTTCCTAGCATTGTAGGAAGCAGTCTCAGAATTTTTTCCTCCAAAGAAAGCATAAATGGTCCTTTGATTTTAAAAAGGAAGAAACAATTGAGTTACAAGCATTCCCGCTTTAATGTGATGACAGGTGTTCCTCAGTTTTCTATTTTTATCTAACTCTAACAGTCATCTTACAAAAATGTGTGAGTTAGTTTAGTTGTTTTGATTTTGAATCTGTACCTTGACTACTGGCTCATCTGTGAGTAGCAGAAGCAGCAAAGCCTAGCTACTTTAGGAGTCTTCTCACACCCCCATGTAACATTTTATACCTTTGTCTTTTCCTGCTGCATGATTGTTGTCTTCAGTGCAACGATAGCTTTGGGTTTTCCTCTGTATTCAGAGCCAGCCCATCAGTCTTCAGAACATGGGGGACCCCTGCAAGGGCTATAGGTATTTGTTAGGCAAGAGGTGCTGGAGCTTGTTGGCTCATCAGGACTGAAACTCCTGTGCTCAGCCTGAGTCCCTTTTCTCAAAGCTGGTGTTACTTTGAGTCTCTTTTGTCAACCCAGCTGCATATTTCTGCGAATTTATAGATGCTTATTTTGAGACCTCTATTCTTTAGTCAAATCTGATTGACACTGGCTGAGGACTTCAACATTTGTTAGGAGATTACTAGATGGATGGATTGACAGTGCTTCACATGAGGAAATTAGAAAGATAATCTACTGTATCTCATAAACAAAAAATAGTGGTGTTATCCATAAATTGTACTTCTTTAACATTTAATTATGTGTAATTTTCCGTACAGTGTATGTCAAAATTCTTTAACATCTGCCATATAGGTATAGTGTGAAGTCTATACTCCCAGGATCTCATCTGGATTCCAGTCCTGCTATACATCATTTTTTTTTTCTTTTTTTTCCCTCCTATTAGAGAGACTGGTTGTGGCGGCTGAACACTGTGAAAAGAGTCTGGAAGATTTGCTACGTGAAAGAAAGCCTGTCAGGTAAGATGTCAAGCTAATTCAAATCCACTCATCATCATTTCACATATCATCTGTGGGAAAGTCCTGGACAAATTTTTTAACTTTTACTGGATTATATAAATTTTACTCGGTTAAAATTTAACCTAAAGAAATTGTTTATCAGATGAAATATGTGCCTGAAGAGGGAGTACTCATTTCCATGCAATTCTAAAAGCCAGAAGAGTTACAGGGAACTTGCTTATAAATTAAATACTTTGTAACTCGTAAAATCCTGTCTGTCATTGTGATAGTAGCTTTGGGTTTTCCTTTTAAAAATAAAACCAGGCCTATGACAGGATAAGGAACTTTCTAAGAATTAATTTGAAGATTAAGTCTGCCGGATCATGAAATACAACTTTCACTAGAATGGACAGAACTTGGTGTGTGTTTTTTATATGCAGAAATCTATTAATTTATCAACTAGAAAGTGAACAAGATGCCAGGGTGCTAATAAGTGATTTGAATTTGAGTTTATGTAGTCACTTCAGCAACACTTTGGTCAAAACCAAGTGCAAAGGCTGGATGTCAGGACTATTTGCTTAAATACTAGGATATATGGAGTAGTTGAGCTGTATCTTTAACAAAACAAACAGAAATCCAAAAATCCCTGTCAGGCTTGTTGCACAAAGTGTTAACTGTCTTTTTAAAATCTTTCACTATTACCTTTGAAGTAAAGAAGTGGTATGTATGTAACACAGAAGATGTGAAGAGTGGAAGGAGAATAACATTATTTTTTTTCGGGAAAGCTAGGCATTGTGTGCTAACTGGTTATTTCAGAACACAGAAAATATATAAATATAAAACACATTTAGAAAAATCCAGAGTCTCCTCATTCTACCTTTTGAAGTTTATAGCTTAAGTTAGATTTCATCTCTCTTCATATTTATGCAAATGTAGAGATGATAATTAATCAGTAGAATAATTGACAATTTTTTCCTGGTTAACATGAGGCATTTCAAGTGGGCTGTGTTTGATGAGGTACTATGCTTCTGTGACTTCCTGTGACTCATCCCAAATTAGGTTTGTATAAAGGGAGTAATACTGGATCTGTAGCTGTTTGAGTCTTGCAGCCCCTAAATAGGATGCTAACAATGTCTGGCAGAGATCTATCTAAATGAAAAATGCCCTGTGTTTGTGTTAGCATTTTATACGCTTAAGCTTGTATAGCAGTGTGTGTTGCAGAGGACTATAGCTTGAGGAATGTTAAGGAACTATGGTTTCCATTTTTTCTTGAGATAGAGAGGTAGTTAGGTGTAAAGGGTTTTTCATGTGTGATGTGTGTGTGTATATATATATATATATCTTATAGTTCTTCACACAGTTTTGCATCAGGTTCCTATTGTGCAAAGTTCCAGAAATAATTAAAGCATCAGAAACCTTTTTCTTTCCTTTTTCGTTTAGTTCTCACACTATTGTTTGAACATGTGTGTTGGTGTTAGATGAGGAGCAGCCCAGACTGCCTGCTGTCTCATGACTGTTTTTGAAAAAGCATGCATGTAGCTCTTTCAATTTGGTTCAAATTCCTTGATACAGTATGCTTAAGTAGGTTCTCTGGCAAAACTTTCTCAAATAACAGTGGTCTGTATGTACCTCCATTATGCCCCTCTATACTTGCATGTGTTTTGTGGCATCCAGAAAGGTTTTTGAGATTTTTTTGGATAGTTTGGTAAGGTATGTGACTTTGGATTTTGGCATGCTGAAAGAAGTTACTTAGTTTGTGACAGTTACCTCAGCTCTTTGGGCTGTGGCTCTGTTGAGAGTAATTGCATAAAGCCTGGCTTTATTTCTTCCCTCTTGTCATGAGAAAGTTTTTACTGAAGTAAGTTATTCTATTATCTGATCTTTCTTCTAATGAGCCAATTGAGATTTCTTCTGGAAGTTATAACACCTAAGGTATAGGGCTAAAATATAGCCTGTATGTATATCCATAGCTTTAAGAGACATTAGTGACTCATCTGCTGAAAATTGCAGCTTTTGCAGTAGTAGCTAAAAAGATAAATTATGTTCACTTCAAATGAAGTTTCTTGCAAGACTGATGTTTTCCTTCTATTTTTTTTTTAATGAAAACAGAATTTTTTGATTCTTGTATGAGACCTAGAAATTTCCAGAAATAACTTGGATGGACCATTTCCCAGTTATTAGTTATGTGATCTGTCTATATCAATTACCTTTGGAGGGAAGTCTTTAGCTTTTTTTATGTGTTCTGATTCTATTGGTCACTGGTAGCATAGCTGATAATGCATCCAGAGTTGATGCATATGCTATTGCAATTAATTTTATAAACTGTTTATGGAATGTGAGAAACTGCTTTTCTTGATTAATTTTCCTTACACTTGCCAGTATCCTAAGTCCTTTGCACCTGTACCACAAGCTGATGTAAAATCAGCAGGAAATCTTCTATTATGTTAGTGCTGAAGTTTAAGACATTACATTATGGACTGTCTGTCTTTCTATGCATATTGGAAAACAGGCCATACAGTTGTTTGGTAGTTATTTGCAGTTAGTCTTTGCTGAAGTCATGCATCAAGTAGGCAGACATTCCTTAATATATGAATTATACTTTAAAAAAAAAAGTAGGGAAGTTCTTTCTTCAGTTAACCTCAGACTTTCCCCAGGTTTTCTAATTCTGATGAATCAGTTGCACATAGGAGCCAAATACTGGAAATTAGACCTCTACTTTACCTGCTTTGTCACAATGCAGAGTCATTTTACTGAGGTTATCACCAAAAATTTTCTAGGAGCTGGACTTGTGTTATATTCAGGAATTCATTCATTCATTACTTAACAATAATGTGTAAGCAGTCCCCAGGCATTGCAGAGATGGTTTGTCATTGTCCTCAAAGTTAACATGCTTAACTTCACTTTCAAAGATTAATGCACGTAAGTGTTTGGTAATTTACGGCCATATTATTTTCTGGTTTGAGTTTTGCATATTTGGGATCCTGGATTAAGCCTCTGCTGCTGTTAAAACTCTTATCAGGTAAATTTCAAGAACTCTCAAGGGATGAAATGAGTGTCAGCTCTTGCAATTCTTACCACACATAACAAGATACAGGAAAGGAATTTAATATAGCTCTTCTTTGTGTTTCAGGGGATAGCCACGTGGACATTGTACCTACAATTAACGCTTCTAAAAGTGACATTAATCCCAATTTTCTGTACTGTGCTTCCATAGGGCATCACAGTAACAGCAGGAGAGCTCTTTTGGACTTGTGTGCCACGGGAAACTCAGGCTGCAAACATGGATAAAAGTTTTAGGGTAGGATAAAAATTTTAGGCATTGATAACCCATTTTTCACCAGACTACTGTCCATTGTTCTCTGTGTGAGAGGTTGTAGTCTGGGTCGTTGTTTCCTGTTTGTTCAATCTCAGTTTAGTGTCCTGTTTGTTGTTGCGCTCAATCAGAGAAAGTATGCACTTAATTTTAGTTTATAACAGTCATGTTAGTGCAAAATCAGCTCTCTGAAGTATGTTCAGGAGTGAGTTAAATATTTAAAGAGCCATGAATTTATGTATATAGTCACACAAAAATAGTAAATACCTGATTTAAGATCATAATAGTTTACTGCTGTTCAGAGATTTGAAAATGTGCCTCAGTCTGACTGGCTTCCTCCGTGTCTTCTTGCACAAGCAAGGATTTTTGTCTTGTGAATGAATTGAAAATAAGTCACAAAAAATTATGGTGGGTAGACATTTTGTACTTTAACAGTCTCACTAAGGGTAGTGATAGTCAAAATTTAACTAGCTCTTCAAAGTTGCTAGTTATTGGAGCATTGTTGATGCCAAAGAGCAGAATGTAGGATGTACATTTATCTTTAAGGTTCTCCATCTTTTAAACATGTTTCTAACTACTCCTTTGAGATACTTTTTCCAGACAGTGTTAAAGGAGTTATTTTCTCTGCTCCTGTGCTGTTATAATAGGAGTTGTGAGCATTTCCTTTTCTGTCATGCTTGAAGTGTATTTCTTCTTTGAAGAAGTTGGTCTGCACTTGTGTTCATAATAATAAAAATGCCAGCAAATACTGACATTTAGCAGACTTTTGGCACCTACAGTAGAGTTTCTGGATTGGTCTTTAATTTGTGGCTTGGACAGTCTAAGTCTGTTCCTTTCTTCAATAAAATATAGTTGTCATATGTTTTGAAAGTCATGGTATTGAAAAATTACTAGTGAACCATCAGAGATACAAGGTATAGTTTGTTATACATGGAACATTTGATGGGAAGCAGACTATGTCTGCAGCTGTTTACTAGTTTGGAGAAAACATGATCTGACTGATTCGGATGAGTACGTTTTATTGGCTGTATTAAACAGTTGTCTTCATTGATTGGACTAGATTTCTTTATGCCATCGTTGCTGTTAGTGTCCTTTTGGCAAACTTGAAGTGAAACTGAAGAAATTAGATGGGGAGGAAAAGCGATTTCTGAGTAGCCAGGCGTTCTTCAAAAATATTGTAAAACAGGTGCAAGTCATCAAAAGGCTGAAGGTTTTACATGATTTGCCTTGAAGAGCTGCATATGAGCAGAGTTTCATAGGTTGAGTATATTCTGCTTTGAATCAAGTCTGTGTTGGAATTTCACATGAGAAGTCCATATGTCACAATGAGGCTGCATTTGGCAAGGATAAATTATGTAATAGTAAGATGAAGTAGCATTAATAAACAAACTTAAAATTATTTTTTTTCCTAAGCATGTGTGAGATTCTATAGTTAGGGCATTTAGTGTCTGTAGACTTTTCCTTTAGCTTCTTGATAATGCTTTAGTTCCAAATCTATGATGAAACATTATACATTAGTCCAGGCTTGTTTATATATTGTCCAATTGTGCTTTTCTTCATGTAGAAGTATAGTTTTATTTTTGTAAGTAATTCTTATTCTGACTGCAAATCTTTCTGTAGCATTCCTTTTAGCATAGATTGTCTCCTGGGACTGCCTTTCCTCTCACAACAAGAAAACAACTGGCAGTTTTCTTGAGGTATTCAAGGT